TCTCTTCTTGTATGTTCAGTCCCTCATGTTTGTTGCTAATAATACAGGATCATCTGTTCACACATGTTCTAGGGAATACTGGTTTTGAATAAGAATCAGAGATTCTTTAACTGCTATGAAGTGAAAATACGCAGCTTTTTTCAATTTACAAAATTATTTTGTTCGGGGGTTGGCAGCTGCTGTTTATCTCTTAACTGTATATTTCTATAATATAAATATGTGTGTTTTTCCAGTTAAGTCAGCAAGTACCCAAAACTGCTCAACTCAGTTCTACAGATTCCACAGACGGCAACTTAAATGAACTTCACATTACAATACGATGTTGCAGCCACCTGCAGTCCCGTGCAGGCCACCTGCAGCCACACCCCTATGTCGTGTACAAGTTTTTTGATTTTGCGGACCATGATACAGCCATCATTCCCAGCAGCAACGATCCACAGTTTGATGATCATGTGTGTTTCCCAGTGCCAATGAATATGGATTTGGATCGATACCTTAAGTCAGAGTCTCTGAGTTTTTATGTTTTTGATGATAGTGATACCCAAGAGAATATTTACATAGGAAAAGTCAATGTGCCTCTGATTTCATTGGCACATGACAGGTGTATCTCAGGTAAGCCTATGTTCTTGAATCTATGAAATTGTAAAAACCAAACAAAATTGGACCTCATTTTTGGATATTATTTGGGTATAACTAATTATTTGGGTATAACTAATCTTCTTAACCTTTTCTGATTATCTTTAAAACTTTAGGTCTATATTACTGTATTTTTTTAGTTATTTTCTTAGTAGTTGCTCTAGGGATTACAATGTGCATCTTAACTTATCACCATCTATTTAAAATTAATACTAATTTAATTCCACTAAAATATAGAAAATTTTCTCTAATTCCATTCTCCCCTCCTTTGTGCTACTACGGTCATATAAATGTATATAGTATGTCTGTCTGTATATTATATACTCAATACAGTGTTATAATTATTGCTTTATGTAATCATATGTTCTTTAAAGAAGTTAAGAAAAGGGAGAAAATATATAATCATAGGCAACTTTGATATTCCCCTATATATTTGCCATTTCTGGTATTCTTTATTTCTTCTTGTGGATTTGAGTTATTGTCTAATGTCATTTCCTAACTCCATGTAGCTCCATTCCTTCCCTTTCTTTTGTGCTATTATATATATTTTATCTCCATGTGATATAAGCCAACAATATAATTTTACAGTTATTGTTTTATTCAGTTGTCTTTTAAATCACTTAACAGGAGAAAAGAGAAAAATAAGTATTTATACTTTTTTAATTACCTATGTAATTACCTTTATTGGTCTCTATTCCTTTGTGTGGATTGGAGTTACCATTTGTTATCTTTTCCTTTCAGCCTGAAAAACTTCCTATGATATGTCTTCTAAGTTGGGTCTGCTAGCAGTGAATCCTCTCAATCGTCGTTATCCGGGAGTGTGTTTATTTTGCTTTTATTTCATAGTCTTG